GCAAAGTACGCCTCGCTCCGTCCACGGCACCAGCAGCGCAACGAGGACGCAGTGCGCTCCGGCCCTTCCACCGGCCCCCGCGGCTCGCCATGTCCAGCCACGAGGACGCAGTGCGCTCCGGCCCTTCCGCCGGCCCCCGCGGCTCGCCACGTCCAGCCACGAGGACGCAGTGCGCTCCGGCCCTTCCGCCGGCCCCCGCGGCTCACCACGTCCAGCCACGACGGACCCGGGAGACCAGCAAAGGGCCCGCCCCGCTCTGGGCTGCTTCCTGTTCTCCCTTGGCTCCCGCCACTGCCCTGCCTGACACAGCATCAGGGATGTCCTTCCCAGGGAAGGCCCCCCAGACTCACCCACCCCCCAAGTGCCACAACTCTGCACCCAGAACTCACCCATTTATTCATTTAAAGCTTTGCTATACCATCCTTTGCTAGGTCCCAGGATGGTAAGACAATAAAGTACAGCACCAGCCGTCAAATTATGGCAAATAAAACCCCATCTTTAAAACAACATCAACATTTAAAGTATTAAGAAAACGAAAAGGGTTTGACCAAGTGCTGAAATGAGAGAAGCGTTGGTGCCAGGCACACCTCTCTGGGGAGCATGTCCCACAGCTGGGGAGCCACCACAGAGAAGGCCCTGCTCCGGGTACCACTCCTCTGACCTCACTCAAAGAGGGTCATTCCCGCATGCCGAGCACCTGCCCTCCCAGAGAAAGGCGCACCTGGCCGACTGACCTCCCTGCCCTGACCTGCCCGAGGACGATTCCCCCTCATCCCCCCAGAGGTCCCAGGCAGATCACAAAACGCTGCCCTCGCCAGCTGGGCATTCTTCCCCCAAAGGAACCAAGGTGAAAGCCCCCCAGAGCAGAGCACTGGCCAGTTCAACAGGTGCAGCCATTCCCAGCAGGGAGGGGGGCCAAGCTGGAACTGCCCAGCTTATGTTGGAAAGAGGCGACCGCGCGAATTCAGAATGAAGCTGGCATGACACATTGAGATTCAAGTCCCACTAGCCAGGAGCTGCACGCCACACGCCGTGGCCTGAATGGGCACCTCTGTCCATCCCCACAGCCCCTGCCTCCTCGGGTTCTTTCCACCTCGCATGCTTAAAACACGCCACCAAAATGAACCAAAACAAGATCCTCATCCAGGCCTGCTTTAATTTTGCTGCCCCCCCCCGAACAGGGCGGCAGACCAGGCTGCAGGATGTGGGGGGGGGGCTAGACAAAGAGGGGCTGCAGCAGCAACCCCAGAAATGAGCTCTGGACGGGATTATTTCCGGCCCTCCCCACACCTCCCCGAATGCCACCCTGAGCCCCCGCGCAGGTGGGGGGAAGGCTGGCTCAGGGGAGAGGAAAGCGGGCGGCTGGCTCGCTTGGCTTCCTTCCGGGCCGCGTCCACCAGCCTCCTTTCCTTTTAAGGACAAGGGCTTCACCAGGCGCTGGTGCGCTGCATGCGCTCCATCTGAAGGGACTGGCGGCTTCCAGGAGAAGGCATTCTGTCAAACTGGTTCCACAAGGCAGGCCTGCCTGGGGGCAGAGGGAGAGCCGCGGAGGGAGGCTTGGGAAGGGCCACGAGCCGCCCGCCTGGATCAGCTCTGGGGCTGCGCCTTCCAGGCCGCCTTTGGAGCGCGGGGTGCCGGGCCCCCAGCAAGCTCCTCTCAGAGAGACTGTCCCCGCTTCTAAAGCCCATTTTTGGCAGAGCAGCCTGCGCGGGGGGGGGGGCAGTGAGGAGCCAGCCCGTGCGGCTCATGGGGCGGTGAGAAATCTTAACGAACAAAATAAGGAGTCAGGGCAGGAAAGGAAGAGGGAGGAGACAGACGGCTGGGGAGGGGGTGCGGGGCAGGGGTGGCCGCGTCTGCGGATCGGGGACAACTGGCAACACCAAAGCCCACCCGGGTCACATCCCACCAACAATGAAGCCCCTTCCCTTTGAATGAAGCTCGGAGCAAGTGGATTCTGCTTACCTGTGCAGGGCGGGGTGGGGGGGTGTATATTAAAACAAGGCGCACCCTGCCGAGCACCTTGCTTTTCAAGTGGAAGTGGGGCCCCATTCCCCCCCCCCCAAGCTTGGGCATCGGTTCAGTGGTGGCAGCTGGTAGGGTGGGGCTTGAGGGGGGGCAGGCAAGCCCACCTGGGAGGTGCAGCTGGCAGCCTTGTGCGCCCCAGCCCTGGTGCAGGGACTGGTCAGGAAGGCCTGAACGGGCACCCTCAGGGACAGACCAGGGAAGCCACTGCACCAGTTTCAACTGGATAAGCAACTGCCCCCCACGCTGCAAAAGGAGGTGTTGGGGAGCAACTGGCAACATTGGACCTCAGAGGCTCTCAAGGCCACCGTGCGTGTCGCATCCGGCCAGGATCCGTGCCGCAGCTGTGCCACCCCTCCCCGACCCCCCGGCCGGAACCTTGCCCCAAACCGGTCCGTCCCTGCAATTTCCGGGGGGGGGAGGTGGCCCCTCCAACTGGGGTGCTGGTGCACCACCCAAGGAAGCAAGCCCCCCCCCCCGGCCCCTGCATCCCCTCGAGCATCCGGGGGGGCAGAGAGACGCTTCTCCCTCCCCTGCCTCTCAGGAGACCCGGCAGGGGGTTCCGCAGGGAAGAGCAGGGCTGACCGGAAGGAAGGTCGGGGCTGGGGCGGCCCCCCAGGAGGAAGGACAAGGCGAGCCAGAGCGCAACCCCAAAGAGCGGGGGGCCGTGCTCGGCCGTCCCCTCCGGGTCGGGCTGGGAAGGCCCCGCGGCTCAGGTCCTGGGGCGGCTTTGATACGTACAGAAGGCTCGGGTGACAGCGTCCGGAGAGCCACGCAGTGTGGCGGGTGGGTGGCAGGGCTGGGACTCGGGCGATCCGGGTCGAGTCCCCACGGGGCCCGGCAGACTCTCAGCCCAACCTACCTCACAGGGTTGTTGTGTGGGGTAAGACACAGCAAGAGGAAAGGGGAGTCATGGAAGCCCACCGAGTTCCTTGGAAGGAAAGGCCAGCCCCTCCATGGCTACCAGTCCTGACGGCTTCCTCCACCTCCAGCCCCAGGGGCAGGTGCCATGGATGCCGGCTGCTGGGGAACGTGGGTGGGAGCCTGCTGCCGCACCTGCACTGAAGCTGCCTGCGTGCATCCCTGGAGGGCCGCCCCGCGTGCAGAGGGACGGACGGCGAGGGCAGAGGAGGGCGCTGCGCTTCAGGGCCGACTGGCGGGAGGGGCAGCAGCGGTGGGCACAGGGGTGGGCAGGGGCCAGTCCAGCGGGGGGGGGTCAACAGTTCTGTTCTGACAGCTCAGCTCGGCCCAAGGCTGCCTTCCGGGCCTGCGGCGGAGACCCAGCCGGCCCCTTCCTCGGAGGCTCCGCAGGAGGCTTCCTCCCTGGCCCCACACCCTGCCCTGCCGAGGGTCCCCCCCTGCCCCCGCCTGGCCCTCGCTCGCCCGCCCTCGCCCGCAGCGCTGCCCGGTTGGAGCGCAGACAGGTGCTGGGCGGGCGCAGACGCAGAGGGGGCGCGGGGAGAGGGCTTGCTGGCTTGCTGCAAGGAAAGGCCTCCCCGGGGCTACGGCTCCTCTCCTCCCCAGGAGCAGCCAAGCAAAGCAAACACGGCGTGCGCTCGCTGGCTCCTCCGCAAGGCTGGGCCGCCACCTGCCAAGTGCTGTCTGACAATCCCTGAAAGGGGCGAGAGACACTCTCCCCTCCCGCTGGAGAGCGAGCAATCTGTTTACACAGCGCCCTGAGCGAGCGAGCGGGTCCTGGCCACGGCCAAGGGCTTTGTGAATGAGCGAGCGCGTGTGTCTGTGCGTGCGTGCGTGCGTGCGTGTGGAGGGAGCGACTGAGCGCGCTCAGGGGGCGTTCGCTCGCTCCAGCGCCAGGAGGGCGGCACATCTGTGCGGCACCACGGGGGCCGAGCGCGCACGGCAGGCCTTGAGTCAACAGCAGATTAGAGCCACACGCCAGGGCTGCTGCGCTGCGCCGCACGACGGGCGGCCTCGCCTCCTCGCAGGCAGCGGGCTGGGAGGCAGGCCCACGTCCCTCCCTCCCAGGCATTAAATGGCCACTGCGGCCGCCCGCCCCACACGCGGCTCTGGGGCGGTGCCTCCAAGCAGCTGGGCTGAGGCGAGGGGAAGGGAGGGGAAGGGAAGGGGGTCAGGCCTGCTGAGGGGCCGGGCGCACCCCCATTTCTCTGCCGCAAGGGAGCGCCCCACTGGCCCCAACAGGACCCACTCCGTGGCGGCCGGCGTGGGGCAGGGTGGGCTGGGAGTGGGGCGATCTGGGTCCTAGCCCCACCCGTCCATGAACCCCGCTGGATGATTTCAGGCCAGCCATGTGCTCCCAGCCGGACCTGTCTCCCACGGCTGTTGCAAGGAGAAAATGGAGAGCAGGCGGGCCCTGTGGGTGGTCCCGGGTTCTTTGCGGGAGGAGAAAAGGCAGAATACATGTGCAACAGACTACAAGACGACCTCGCACAGATCCACTGACGCAGCAATGCAAAAACCAGCAGCTCACACTGACTCAGCCCCGAGTTCCAAACAGCAGCCTGCGCATCAGGATGGAGGACAAAACGTCTGCCAGACGGAAACAGTTTGTCCTCTTCTGCAAACAGGAAGCTTCTCTGGAACTTCACAGAGAAGCAGCAGCTCAGGAATACAAGGAATACGCATCATCGTCCGCATTCGCTGCCATTAGAATGATGGAATCCTCCAAAATTTCCTTCCCTCCAAGGTCAGCACACCTAACACGCAACGAGACGCAGAGGCAGCAGCGGCTAAAGTAATTCATTACACCGGGACAAAAGCAAGAGAGGGGATCCCTTTAAAAGAAGGTGGGAACCTGTTATCAATCATCAGAACGTGAACCTTTCCCCTCAGATTCTTTCGGAAAGCAAAACTAAGTATGAGGTGAATGGGTAAATCCTGAGGAACCTGGAAACAAGCCCTGTTTTGCCCGCATATTGTGTAACAGACTTGTCGTAAAACAGAGACGCCTGAAAGGGGCAGCGCCCCCCCCCCCCCGCCGGCTGCCTAGGGCCACTTACCCACATGGGGTCCCCGAGGTCCGCATCCTGCATCCGAATGCAATCCATGCTGATCTCGATCTTGTTTGTGGGGCCATTGTCCGTGGCTTCTTCCAGGAAATTCAGGTCAATCGGCTGAACCGCACAGATCGGCCTGCAAGGGAGAGGAGAGCGTGGAGGTCCGAGCGAGCGAGCGAGCGAGCGAGCAAGCGTTCCACCGGTGCCGGAGACCGAACCCTGGGCGAGCCCTCGGGCTGCCTTCCTGCAGAAGGCTCCGGCCCCATCCCGCGGCCGCTGGCGTGGCCAGGGCTGCCTTCACCTCCCAGCCACTCACCAGAGAAAGCCTGGCAGGGCGCAGGAGGCTGGGGCCAGAGTCAGGCCCCCGGTCCACGTGGGCCAGGATCGCCCAGGCGAGCCAGCAGTTAAGGGCTCCCCGCCGCTGCGGCCAAGAGGGTTCCCCAGCACCTGGAAAAGGGGGACCTTCTGTGGGCCAAGCACATGCTCCACAACTCACCTGCGCCCCCCCCACCCCGAACGAAAAACGGGACCTGTGGCACGGGTCTGGGAGCCAGCTTTGTGGGGGCACTAACAGGCTCTCTCCTGGGACAGGGGAGTGACCCCGGCCTGAATTTCACACGCAGCCCAGAAGCGCCGTGGGCGCGCGTTGTGCTTCCCTCCGAGGGGCAGGCGCTTCATGCTCACTAGGGCTGCTACTCCGAAATGCACCGTCCAAGGCGGTCCCCGAGGATGTCGGCCCAGACAGTCACAGCCTGCGGGCCTGCGGCCACCTCCCCCTGGCAAGCAGAGCAACTGCCGACACCTGCCGTCTGCGGCCCCTTGGCGCTTTTTTGTGCGAATATTTAGGGCTTCACGCAGCCCATCAAAAGCAGGAACGTGGATGCAAGCGGCAGAATATCAGAATGGGGGGGAAGGAGGGGGAGGGCAGGACTAACCAGCCTTGGCTGGGCCCTGCACAGCCCTTCTCCCAGGTGTCTGCGGCCACCTGGCCGTTCGAGTTCCCACTGCACCCGCAGGAACCGAAGCCCCAGGTGGGCTCGCCTGGGTTCTGCGCTCCGGCAGCACCAGAGGGTCCTGCCAAGGACCAGCAAAGCACAGCACTGGCGGCGCTCTGCAAACCGCCACGTGGGTCGCCACTCACGTGCGGGACGGGCATGTGCCGGACCCGTGATGTCTGAACAGGGGCATGTGGGGAGAGCCAAGACCCGCTGAGGGATCCCCCTGCACTGGCCATCCAGATGAACCTGTGCGACTACCGAGGCACCGATGTCGCATACGCCCCCTGGGATGCAACCCAGCCCCCTGGAAGCACCGGCTGGGACCTGCACAGCTGGCAGTGCTCACCGCGGGCCGGGGCGCCACGTGCCTGGCTCTCGGTCCGATCAGGCGAGACAGGCCTGAAGGCCCTGAGGGACTGCTGGCTCAGTGCTCCCCGTGAGAACCTCTTGAGCCGACCGGGCGACTGAAGGACGCCCAGCCGGGAAGCGCAGCGAAGCTCTCCAGAACCCTTGACGCCTGTCCCGACACGCAAGCCCCCCGCACCATCGTGCCCTTTTCTCGCAACGTTCGTTTTCCCAATGCATACTCCCCCCCCGCCCCACGCTGCATGCACCTCTGAAGCATGCACACGGCCCTGATTCGAAGTGCACACGACTCATCACATCCGAGTCTGTGCTTGGCCTACACAGAAGGTGCAAACCGGGTCAAGACTCATCCGAACTGAGCCGAACACACTTCTCGCGCACGTTTGGGCCCTTTCCGGCAGAACACGCCAACCCACTGGCCTCCCGGTCGCCCGCCCTTCTACTCACTGTTCCAGAATGTCCCAGAGGTGCTCGAAGAACTCCGGGTGGACGTACTCCCGCCCCTGCGAGCCCTGCGACATGGCCGAGCGATAGTAGCTCTCAGTCCAGGAGAAATGGCCCGGCGTGTCCACAAACCTACGAAGACCCCAAGCAGTCCAAAATTTAATTTCAACCTGCTGGCTTTTTAACAGTCTACTTTACCGTTAAGAAGCAGACAAAAGAAAGCAACCAAAAGGGCAAGCCAAACAAAACTAGAAGTAGAAACATGATGAAAAAGCAGGCTTGAAAGAGCACATGGAAAGTCATGATTAAAAAGTAACAATTACTGAAATAATTGGATTGTTTTCTAGCAGAAGCAACTGGTCAGGGGTCAAGTAAGTCATGCTAAACGGCCAAGGCCTTCCGGAGCCTGCTTCCTAAACGGCTGGAGGGGGAAAGTTTTCTTGGTCTGTGGGAAGTCAAGATCTTGGGGGGACAATCCAGGATTCTGCAGCACCCCGAGAAAGCTTGGAAGGACGCTGCGCAGGGGAGCCACTCTCTCCTTTCCCGCACAGTGGGAACAGCAAGGTCCAGCTCTGTCTGCAGGGAAGGTGTTCCCAACATGGGATGCCAACGGATGAGTGGAACGCTCCAGTCCGTGCCCTTCCTAATGACAACGTGGCTGCTGTACTGCATTTATATCCCACCTTTTTCATCACTCTGAAGAATGCTGGTAGCTTACACCGCTCCATTTCATCCCAATGACAACAACCCTGCTAGGTAGGCTGGGCTGAAAGCCTGTGAGAGGCCTAAAGTCACCGGGCGCGCTTCGTGGCCAAGCAGGCGGAGAGCCCTGATCTCCTGCGTCCCCACCCAGCACTCCCCGCCACTCTGGCTCCCAATGATTAATAAAAATAAAGCATACATACGAACTACTAATTAGTCATGGCCGTCTTCTTTCTCTCCCTTTCCAGCCTCGCTTTTTCTGCCCCCCCCCCCCCCGCACCTTGTTGTTCTCCCTCCCTCCAGGCGCCCATCGCGTGCCCTCCAGCACGCGTTGGGGCACGTCTGAAGCGCCAGCCTGCGTGGGGGCCACTCCGCGTGAGCACCCTAATTCCCACCCGGCCCGAAAGGCGGGGGCTCCCGGGCCAGGGGCGAGCTGCCCCCCGCCGGGTCGGGGACGGGCTTTCGGCCGCCTCTGCCAACAGCGCCCACCCCGGGCAGGCGTGCAGGGCGCGCTGCGTCGCGTGTCCACCGGCTGCGTCTGCCCGGGTGCAACGCAACCGAAGCGTGATGGAAAAGGCCGAGGACTCTGCCGTCTGTGCACGGGGTACTCTTTTAATAAATCCCCACCATTTTTTAAAATCAATGCTTCTCCGTCTTTGCTAGGAGGCCCCACACGGCCCCTTGCAAAAAGGAAGCTGGGGACTCGAATCGCACTCCCTGGTGCGGTGCGCGCCGAGTTCTCTGCAGGCAGCGCCTCGTGTGCAAGAGCTGGAGGACTTTTGCAAAACTGCGCCCCCCCCCCCCGCCCCGTTTCACAAACGTGTCCAGACAAGCCGCGCGTGTCGACGCACCCCACCCCGGGGCCCCGGGCCAAGCGCCTGCCTGCCCCGAGCCAAAAGCACACACCCTGCAGAGCGGCCCCCCCGGCGGACAGAGGCCTTCAGCGAGCGACTTCCGCTGGAAGATAGAAAAGGACACCCCCCCCGGTGAACGATGGGAGGGTCTCTCTGCCCCCCCCCAGCTTGGGCAGGCGATCCCAGGCTGGAACTCGCCCCGCTCCGTTGGCTCCTCCCCGATCTGTGCTGGGCGCCCCGCTCCCCACGTGTCCGCCCCCAGCCGGGACGCACGAAACGACGAAAGCCCCGCTTCTGCTTTTCCGCGAAAGGACACCCAAACGCGGAGTTAACGGGGAAGGGGGCGGCCTATTTTACCTGGCCCAGGAGCTCGCATGGGGGGGGGGTCTACAGCTTGCCAATATAAGCACCCTTCATGGGCCCAGGCCGCCAAAATGCATAACGCTTCTTTGCAACCTGCCCAGGGAGCCTTACGCTAATACGGCAGGATAAAATTTTAATAAATAAAAATTCAAAGGGGGGGATCAATTGCTGAATTGCTTCCTAAAGCATCTCCCCAAATCCCGTATGCACCGCTTTCCACACGGGCTCTCTGCGGACTCCGCTTCCCAACGGCCACGCTGGGCGGCCCTTATTTCTCGGGGGGGGGGGGTCCGAGAAAAGCTTCCGAAGGCAATCGCCGGAATCGGCGTTACTGGCATTATTCGAGCTCTCACACGCGCAGCCCAAACCATTTCGAAAAGGTGCCGGGGCGTCGATTGCGCCTACAGGTCAACTTCCAAGTAGAAGGGCGCAAATCTTGCCCTCGGCCCATCCCGAAAGAGCCGGCCGTGCCATAACCCGCCCAGGCCGCTTCATCCGCACACCATCCAGATGCACTCAGCTTGTTTTGTGACCGGAATTTCGATGGTGTGGTTTTTACACGTTACTGTTAGATTTTGCAAGCAAAGATCCTGGACGGTGAAACACAAGCAAACTTTTGACTGAGTTTTTGAGTGCACAATAATGAACTTGCGTTTGGAGATTACTGCACTTGGCAGGCGCAAGATCTTTCCGCGTCGTTCGAAGAGGGAGGACCTGCCGCAGCGACACGCGCCCGCGCACACACACGTGCGTTCGTTAATTCGGCTGCTCCGCGGCACCGCGAGTTCTCCTGCAGCTCTCCTAAGCTCCAAGCACCTGCACTTGAACTACAGTCCCACCCACTCGACCCCCCTCATGGGTTTGCAGGTTGCAACAGCCAAGTCCCCGGGCCAGTGTATCGCATCCTCCTGGCCCCACTCACAGGCCGCTCCAGCTTTAGGCGTCCCTCCCCCGTGCGGGAAGCGACTCCCTCCGCCTTCGCGGCCCACCCAGGCGCAAGTTGTGGGAAGCGGCGGTGGGGGGGGGGGGGCTGTGTCTAGCCGGAGGGGTTCGAGGCAGGGACCCTGCGCGGAAGGCAGGCCCGCGCCGCTGCGCTGTGCAGAAAGAGGGATGCACCAAGCGGGATATTAAAAACGGGTGTTTGCTTTAAGCAGTTTTTCAAAAAGCGTGTGACTCTTAACCGTCTCTTTCGGAAGGGAGGAGAGAATGGATTGGCAAGCAGTCCTCCTGCGAGCGTTTAAGTCTCTGCTGGCCCTTAGCCCCCCCCCCCCCCCCCCCCCCCCCCCCCCCCGCTGAGCCCACACGCGCCCGCACGCTCGGCCCCTCGGCACGGCGCGCCCCGGATCTGGCCCGCAAGGCCGCGGCCGGGATCCTTCCCCAGCTGAGCTCGGCTGCAATCGAGGATTCTCCCCCTGTGCTGGAGGGGGGCGGATAAGCATCCGCCGGTGGGGGAGAAAAACGTCCCAGCGCACCCTTCCAGACGTGCTGCCTTCGCTCTTCTCCGTTGCCAGTTTGCCACCCTCTAAATGCAACATGGGGGGGGGCACCCCCTTCCGCTCACAGGACGGGTCCCCCATTCCCAGCGGGAAGTGGTGCCAGCCACCAGCGCCCCACCAGTCTCGGCAAGCATCGGCCCCCGGGGGCTTGACTGCAACATCTATCGTCCCCAGCCACGGGGCAGGAATGCTGGGGGTTGCAATCCAGCAATGTGGAAGGCACCCGGCGGAGTCGTTTTGTTTACCTGGAGAGCTTGCCGGGGGGGGGGGGGGGACGCCGGCCAGGCAGCCCGAATGCAACAGCCGGTTCCGACAGCCGCCACCCCACCTGTTCGGAGGCCAGGTGCGCATGTGGCCAGCCAGGTGCGCCAGCCCACGTGTGCCCCCTCCCTTGCAGGGCCGAGAGGAGCCACGTTCAGGGGGACGGGTGGCGCCCGTTTTCTGTCCTCCGCCCCACCTGCCCCCGAATGAGGCCCCCAGCCCGCCTGAGAGTTCCCCCTCCGAAAAAAACTGCTCAGGACCCTTCCTCTCCGAGCGCTCTTCAGAACCAGTCCCCTCCTGCAAGGCCGAAATATGCATGGCTCCCTCTTCGCCCGAAGCAGCGGGCTGCAATGCATTCCGGGGCTGCAATATTTCAGATTGCTGGTACACAGCCCCCTACAAAAAATTGAAAATACTGTAATAAAAGGCAGCTTGCAGGAGGCAGCTAGCGTGTCGACGCCTTTTGAACCAGGGCTGTTCTCTTCCGAGGAAATTCCAGAAAAAAAACCCATTTCACACCCCATCCTGACGTTACAGCCCAAGAAACATTAAGCCAGGAACGGAACGGCAGTTTCAGCGGAGCGTGCGAGCCGAAGTCGAATATTCCACTGAAAAACGCTGGTGCAGGTTCCGCCGCCGGGCTCGACCCGTGAGGACTCGTTCACACGCACACGCAACCAGGGCTCGCTTGCTTTGGCGTGCAAGAAATCGGGGCTGGGGACGCACGACTCGTTGCAGTATTTTAGAAGACACAGTCTAACTGCTCCACCCACATAACCCCACTCGACAACCTATTTAAAAACCTGCGATTGCAAAGCTGTTACCAAATTCCTAGGTTCCATTTCTGGCCCCGCATTTCCAAAACAATAAAAAAGGAAGTATTTTGTTGGGCAGGTCCCAAGCTGACCTAATGGTAACTGACCTCAGTTTTTCCGTACGCATTATGGAAACAAACGTACCCCAGTTCACCTTCTACTTATGTCTTCTGGCATTTCCACAGAAGGGCTTGCTGCGGTGTGTGGCCTCATCTCTTCCAGAGGACTAACGCGTTGACACCTGCTCTTTAATTTAAGCCCATGCAGATCGCGAATTCCCCACCAGCTTGTTGGAGGGAAGGGGAGAAATTCAAACCGTGGCCCACTGGGCCCTTCCGCCCAGAGACCTCCTCTGCCTACTGCGGAGTAAAGTTTCCAGCCTTGGCCCCGTCCCCCGCTCCGTTGCCCCTTGCTCCAACCGCCAGACACCAAATCGATCGAGGGCGCCCTTGCTGGCTTCAGGGCCAGGCCATTTAAAGGGATTTGCCTCCTCGCTCGCTTGGGTTCCCCTTGCAGGATGCACACGTGCTTGGGACGCGGGTTCTCTGCCCCTCTGCGCGCCGAGGCTGCCACGCGCGAACAGTGGGAGGCACTCGGGGGA